GCCCAGCAGGGAGCATCAGGACAGCAAGCAGGGTCATATTCCATGGATGCTATGTGGGCTGTCGGATGATTGGATGGCTCGGGAGGTACGGAAGGCATGCGGCTTCCAGCTTGCTCGGGACCCGGTGCAAGAGGCCGCCGGAGATGCAGAGAGGGAAGAGGAAAAGACTCGGAAAAGGGAATACTGGGAGGATGACGACGACGACGATCCTTCCAACTGCCGGCCGCAGTGATCCTCCAACCCCCGACCCTTGGAAAACTAATGTTTACTGGTCTCTATTCTGTATGTGTCCACATTCACCCTGAGCTTGGAGGGTACTTATTGAGTCTATACATATCTAGCGGAGACTTGACAAAATCAGCGTGTGTTCGTGTTTTTTCTTGCAGTTCGTCCTACATGTCCCGGGCTGAGTTGAATGAATCTGAACTGTGTTTCTTTTCGGCGCCCGGTCACTCGAATTTCCGTCTTGGTTATTCACGTGATCGTGATACCGATGATGTCATCAACGCGTCCTTCGCGTCCCTTTGCTCCGTACCACCACCATGACTAGCACGCTACCTCCTCTCGTCCAAGCTTTCTCTGGCGCCATTGGGAGCGCCTCTGCGAACACATTGACCTACCCGTTAGATCTTATAACCACTCGTCTACAGCTTGAGTCTCCAGAGAAAGCCAAACGGTCTTCCGGCTTCCATGGCGCAATTCGTATCCTGCGCAAGATCATCCGGAAGAAAGGGTTTCAGGAGCTATACACAGGGTTGGGCACCGACACGGCCGCGACCCTACTTTCAAAGTGAGTCGTTTATCCACTACATCGGCCGGATACTCAACCAACCCGTCTTCAAGCTTCTTTTATTTCTATTTCTACGCCTTCCTTCGGTATCTCCTCACAAGCCGCCGCATCTCTTCGTCCGGCAAGACTACCACACTCGCTCGTCCTTACAAACCCGGGTTGGCAGAGGAAGTGTTGCTCGGCTTTATCGCGGGTGTTGCTTCTCGCGCGGTGTCCACGCCTTTGAATATCGTCACTCTGAGGCTCCAAGTCGAACAAGAGAACGACCCCGACGAAGATACGATACCGGGAATGGAAGAACCGGCTTCCGGTGTCAGTGACGTCGTCAAGAAAATCTACAAAGAGCAGGGATTATTGGGATTTTGGCGTGGTAAGTTCTGCATAATTCTTGTTTTCGACAAGAAACTGACCCCCAATAGGATTCAAGACGACGACCTTGTTGTCTTTGAATCCCGCTCTGACGCTTGCGCTGTTCCAAGTCTTCCGCCGCGTCCTCGACCGCGCCTCTACAACGACGGGGGCCAATCCAAAGCCATCCCAAGCCTTTCTTGGAGCTGCTGTATCGAACTCGATCGGTATGATTTCCTCTCATTTCACTGTTAGTTGTATTGTACCTTGACACAAAACTTAGCCGCGGCCATTCTGTATCCCCTCATGCTCTCCAAAACGCGCCTCCAAGCCACGTCCGCGACGTCCATGCGTGAGGTCTTGCGCGATGCTTACACAGGGCGTGGACGCAGCACAGCGAGGCTGCCTGGGAAGTTCCCATCGGAGAACATTGGGATCCCGGGGCTTTACCAAGGGCTGACCATGCAGATCGCCAAGGGTTTCTTGAGCCAGGGGGTGACTTTCTTAGTCAAAGGACGGTCGGTGTCCTCTTCGGTTGTTTTAGTGGCCAGAACACTGACGGTTTTTTTAGGGTTGAACAGCTAATTGTTGAGATGTACGCCCGACGCTTGTCATCCTACTAGTACCATAAGAAGCTCGCCCATTAGCCATTAGATTCACGATGAATGGAAGAATTCTATGTTTCAACTTGTCGACTTTTCTGCTGACCTCCGGTCCACACGGTGACACATGGTAAGAAATCTTAACGCCGACCTATTTATGATCCTCCAACGAGGTTCGTGCTGCCCATGTTGATCAGTGCGTCCGGAAACCATGCGGAGTACTAGGTGCGTCACCGACTCGGGAGGTTTCCTTCATTTACGCCCCATTCATGCTCCAGGTTCCCCTCTGACTCGCAAAATGACCGAAGTTACGAGATACGGCGGCAAAAAAATGAATTGAACGCCGTTGAGATCACAAGGAAATCCCCACATTTCGTGTTGACCGGTTTCACTTGGACAGCTCTCAGGAACGTTCCCGATAATGTCCGCCATCCTCTGGGCGCCCATATATAACGAGAAACGGCTTGAAATGAACCGTAAATGTTCGCCCCACTTCTCCTGCGTATCCTGGTCGGGCTCCTCGCCTCTACCTCTGCACACTCGCGTTTCGCGGTGAAGAACGCGCTTCCCACCGTTCCTTCTGGCTGGGCCGAGGTTCAGAATGCCCGGCTACCTCCAACTCACGGCCTGAACATGCGCTTCGGACTTGCGCCGCAGGGCTCTCACCTCCTGGAGTCTTCGCTCCGAAATACCAGCGATCCTTTGCATCCCAACTACGGCGACCACCTCTCGAAAGCGCAGGTACATGCTCTATCAAAACCCGCGACAGACACCATCCGGATGGTTGAAGCTTGGCTCGAGGCCCACAACGCGAACGCTATGAGGTGGTCGTCTTCGCGGGACAGCGTTTCCGCTGTAATACTGGTTTCTTTCGCTGAGCGCATGCTGTCCACCCGTTTTGGTGTTTTCCAACACATCAAGAGCGGGAAGCGCGTTGTCCGTACACTGCGCTACAGTCTTCCAGAGACCCTCCTGCCCCATATTGCATTTGTGCATCCCACGACGGCGTTCTTCGATCCCATGCGCCAACATGGCATCGGTGGGTTCGCTCCTGGGGTGGACGGCGCCCCGCATTCCGCCGTGCCGCATCTCAAGAAACGCGGACTCAACCAGAGTGACTACATCAGCTGTGTCAATGTCACCGACCCGCCGTGCGTTCGGCAACTGTACAACCTCGGGGACTACAAACCAGACGTGACACTGAATGGATCCGAAAACCATATCGGAGTGTTGGTATTCTATAGTCCGTCGACGAATCTTACTAATAGACTTGCACGACAGGGCTGGATATTTGAACGTATGGGCCCGAGCGTATGTTCGCGGTTATATTGATTTACCTTCACTGATATTCGGTGTAAACCAGGGACTCGCTCAAATTATACCTGGATGACTACATACCAGAGTCGCGGGGTTCCAATTACACTTTTGACGTTGTCAATATCACAGGTATGTTTTGCGACCCTTCATACTTTTTTGTTCAAGTTCTGTAGGACCCTTCATTCCGGCTTCCATCAATGCGGAAGGAAATCTTGACACCCAACTAGGTTGACTCTTTTTTTCAAACCACAGACATCCCTCTCAAAGAGCCAACCCAGCGATCCAGGTCGCGTACCCCATCCCAATGACGTATTTCCCAACGAATTCGATCCCTCCGCACATTCCGGACCAAAATCAAGACGGGATAGGATCGGGTGGAGTGAATGAACCATACTTGGAGTAAGTTGTATTGTGTTTCCAGCGCTGATGGTCTTTGAAATGACTGTTCAGCTTTATCGACTATGTCCTGGGGCTGGATAAGCCTCCGACCGTTATCACGATCTCGTACGCCGATGACGAGCAGACAGTTTCGTGTTTTGCTGCTTGAGCCAGACAGCACTGATTAGCCTATGCATTTCAGGTCCCTCAAGTACATGTCCCTATGCGCCTGAATATTTCTTTTTGGCTGATGTAGATCAGGACTATGCCAACGCGGTGTGCAACGGCTTTGCGAAGCTTGGGGCCAGGTGGGTAACTTGATTAAACCATCCCCACCGCCGGCTCACTCCCCACAGAGGTATTTCAGTTTTGGTGAGTAGCGGAGACTCGGGGTTGGGGGTCGCCAATCTCCCCGTACGTGCTGTGCGCAAAGGCTGGAGTTATTCTGATGACTACCGACAGACATGCATTGCGAATACAGGAAACAATGGAACGGCATTCCTCCCCGTCTTCCCCGCGTCCTGCCCTTAGTGCGCTGTTCTCAAATAAAAGAATTGGAAGGTTGATCCTTGAACGTCAGCGTTACTGCAGTCGGAGAAACTCAGGGATATTTCCCTCAGGTTCCTATTCCTGAATCCGGGGCCGGATTCTCCTATTATTTCGACAGGCCATGGTAACAAGGTGTGAAGTGCTGACATATCATTCCCACGGTTCAATTTCAACTGCTCAGACGCTTCCGTGCCCGCGTATCTCGACGGCCCTGCGAACGCTCACGAGACCGCTCTGCAGTCAAGTATGTACAATCGTCAGGGTCGTGCATATCCCGACATCACATGCGCCGGTAAGATTCCTTCCAGTTGTGTTTCGTTATCCCCACCGAGGTTCGCTAGGCAGCGGAGCTTTCTTCAACTTCTTCGAAAACGAGTGGGATATCGGTGGCGGGACAAGCGCTGCAGCTCCAACTGCGGCCGGCATAGTTGCCTTGCTCAATGACTGGCGGCTTCGACACGGGAAGCCTGTAATGGGGTTTCTAAACCCTTTCCTTTATGGCGCGGGCGTGACCGGAATGGTTGACATTGTGTTTGTTGCTTCCCCTGGTACTTTCTCATAGTCTGATAAAACACTTGAACAGGGAAGGACTGGTGAGTGGGTGCCAACAGCCGGGTTTCAACGCTACACGAGGGTAAATGATACCCTCTACATTTTGTTGATGAGAACTGAATGACTCTCGATCGCAGTTGGGATCCAACATCAGGTATGTTGCGCGTCAATGAGCGTGATTCTTTGCCGTTGAACTTGAAATCTAAAGGCCTAGGCTTCTTTGACTTCGGAAAGCTGCAATCTCTTGTGCTTTGATTTTTTTTTTCGCGAGGCAGATAACTGTTATATGTGGGAATTGGGATGAGGAAGATTGTAACTTCGGGATCGCCAAGTCGACATGCGGAAAAGTTCTGACTGTTTAGTGACACTTGGCTTCCCTTCAATATAACCGACTTTGTTCAACGCACCACGTATTTCAACCGTGAGAAGTAGAAAAAGTCAGAACGCAAAAAAAGTAACCGTATAGCCCCACGCGGGGGTCGAACCCGCAACCTTGAGATAGACTTTGTAAGAGTCTCACGCTCTACCGATTGAGCTAGCAAGGCGACGTCCAAATACTGCGTTTATTATGTGCAGGCACGGCGGGCGAACTCTTCCACCCTTTTGTCATGGCTAATTTTAAAGCGAGAATTCTCGCAACCTTGGCAGACTTCAGTCGCAAATCCAGCAGTTGAGGGAACCTGACGCTAAGCCGACATAGTTCTGAGTCCAGCCGAAATCACCGCATCATTGCGACGTGCGTATGTAGGACTGCATTGAATGAACCGCAATTTTAGATATCCATCGTGCGGATCGTGCTTACCTTCCCTGTGCTTTTAGATTTCATCTGGAGTCTTCGAATAGTCTCAAGCCCATCTCGCCGTAGCGCGGATCGCGACCGACTTCGAGGAACCAGCCACGAAGGTTCTGGCTGAATTTTTTCGAGATTAAATGAGCACATCAACCTGGAAAGGTTTCTTGAAGAGAAGAACAAGGGCGAAATGGGTGACCGGGACAGTTGAACTGTTGACCCATAATAATCTGTGCGACTCAACTGTGCACCTAGTGCCGGGAGAATCCAAGTCCCCTTCTCGGGTGTCGACTAAGCACTTGAGTGGATTGACAACGGAACTCATTTGAACGCCGCCCAAAGTTGCCATCTCAGATGTACCCACTGCTTCTGAGCGATATTGCGATTTCTGAGTTCCCCGTCCACATTCCCAAGACACATCGATTTTTTCTCAATCAGAACCAGCGGGATAGTCCATGGTAAGCAGTGTAAGCCGCAACATATACGAATGGAGATGCTCTCCCAAAACCGCCAGCGCAGCCTTCAAGCTTCGATCGTCCTCGGGAGACAACACCCGGCGCCTTTCTGATAATCAAAGAGTGAGTTCTCTGGCCGGACATCTACGACTGGGACAAAACGCACGCTTGAACAGCTGAATTGAAGCTTCTTCCAATTGGGTCGCGTACAACGGCCATTTAAGATCGTCGGCGATGCCGCCGCATATGTAGTGATTCAAAAGGTTTGAGTCCGAGCTCGGGTGCCTTTGTAAAGTGTCTTGCATCGTGACGAGGCAGAATCGGATCTTTTGCTGTAGTTGCTGGAGAGACTCGTCCTCCTTCAATCCTACATGTTGAAATATGAGCGATAATAAGACCACTCACAGATTCCCTACCTGGAATTATTGACTTGGATGAACCGGCCATGAGTTCTAGCAGCGTGCGGAGATAATGCTCCGAGTGCTGTGACGGTGTAAAGCAGGGAGTCCGAGTCCGCCTTTGCCACAATGTTGTTTTAACTTGTTATCGGGGTGATCGCTTGATCGGCGCTATCATGTCTGTGCGCTACAATTGGGGGTTGAAGGGACGTAGAGAGAATCGCATCGACGCGCGTCAAGAGGTGTAAACCAGAGGGCCGAATTCCTGGCTGTCGATGGTATTTGCTTGTTACCCGAGTCTAAAAACAAGTCACACTTGCGAAATGATGCGGCGAGGTCTATGGGTTATTAGACAACCGTACTTGTTCCGAGCTTGAGGAAATAAGGGGGATGGACCCCGGCGAAATTAGCAGTCTTCAACCGAACCAAGTTCTACAACGCCAGAGTTTTTTGCAGTCGCGCGGCCTGTCGGACGTCTCTCCATTCCGACCGAAGCTGGGGACCATCATGCGTTTTTCTTGGTACACACATTCAAGGCAATGTAAGGGGCAGGACACACCTGCTCAGTGGAACGAAGCGAGCTCATGGAAGTTGAAGAGAAGAGCATCCGGCAATGTCCGAGTTTGATTGGCGAACAATGGCGATCTTTTAATTGAGACTGCACGTGCCACCGACGTCAGTTCTGAGTTTGCTGCTACGCAACTTGCAAGTCCAGTGCGCAAGTCCTCTCTTCCTTTGGTTAGCGACGTTTAGGCAGAAAGACCTCCAGGCAATAAATGATTCGACCGCCGAGGTCAGTCCATCGATATCATGTGCACCGACTCTTGAGTCTTTGTAGTAAGGCAAGCACGGTCCAAGTGAAGGAGCTGGGCGCAGCTCGCGCGGGGGTTCATAACGGTACAAGATTGCCGCTACGCACCTATGTATCTAACGCACCGTCAGTGACCCGCATCGGCGCTGTGCCAATTCGATGCCACCCGGATCCGCCAAGCTCATTTCCGACATCCGTTTCGTCCCTCTTCGCCCCACACCTAACCGCGAGTCAGACGAACTCCAAGTCGTTAAAATTCGTGTCGCCTCTAGCATTGATATGGTTAATTGTAAGGTGTTCTACCTTTTGGCGTGGTCCGCTCTCATTCTCCATGTGTATATTTCAAGAAGTACAGTCAAGAAATTAAACTGCCAACAATACCACATGCAGTCGGGACATAATGTACACAACAAGGTCCATAATTTGCTACTGGAGGCCAAGCACCACCGCGAAGAGACTAAAAACGAATGCCGCTGGACTGCGAGCAAGAGAAGTCCCAGGACCACCTCCGAGCGGTTTAGTAGGCGACGCAGAGGGACCGGACCCGGAGCCAACAGGGTGACCAGAGGTCGTTGGGATGGCCGCTGGGGTTGACGTCGCAGGACTGGTCGATGAATCCGCAGGGAGGGAGTAAAAAGGCCGGAAATCGTCGTAGGCCACCTGTGCCTGCTGACACTCCATGCCCGCTTCCTGATAGATTGGCGAGTTCAACGCAGCCCATGACAGGAAATCGGGGTCGTTGGGAGACGTGGCGTTCGGAGCATCAGCCGCTCCACGGGAAGCCTCCAAGGCTTGCTCGGCGGCGGCTTGCATGCCGGGCGCGCATTTCTGAACCGCGGTGTTATATGCTGTCACTATGGTCGAGTTTGTAGTTGTGGGAGCTGCGAATCCTAGATAGGAGGTTGTTATAAAGGCTTTTTTCGCTGAATATTATCTGCTCTGCAGATGTTGAATGTACAACGTACTTCGTGGTCCGTGGTCGTGGTTAGCCGACCATTTTCGGGGCTAGCGGCTAGCCGAGATCAGCCGGATTCGGCTAGTTCGCGGCAAGCCGTCGCACAAGACAAAGTGGAATAAGCCAACCCGGAGGCGACACATGTACTACGTGGAAGTATCCGATATCAGTAGTCAGGCATGTGGTATCGGAAATTTTAGGGTTTGAAGTCAATTGCAGAGGTCACCTTGCGACCTTCAAGCTGAACTGGTGTCACAAAGTAATTTGGTACAATGCAACACTAAGTTAACACATCTTTCATTTCAGATTTAATGGCATCGACAGCTCCATTGAGCTACAGGACAGGAACTACGAGGCCTTGCGGGAAACTGTCAAATTCCATTCGGCCCGGTGTTCAAATCAATCATTGATTGATGATGCCTCGGTAAACTCGGCACAGGGGGTCGTAAGTTCAAAGTTCAACTTTGGAGCCTGTCATAGTCAACCACGAACAATGGTGTCTATCATAAAAAGACCTGGTATATCACAAGTACAACCCACAGAAGTGCCCAAAAAGTACATCCGACAACCACAAAACACCCACAAACCACGTTCTCCAACCACGAATCATCGGTAATTCTGGTTGCAAGGAGGACGGGTACGTAGTAATTGACTTCGCTCCGTTACCACATAATATTCAGTGATAAATAATGTCATAGGTTGTAGACCTGTTGGCACGAACGTCAGAGTCTTAAACCTATAGCATGGAATCACTCACGTCGCGATTTGACGGCGTACGTTTGCTGCACTGGCAAACGAGGTTGCGAGAAAGACAATGGGGAGGAAATGCAGGAACATCATCATGTTGTGAGTTGGGGAGTCCAGGCCCCATGGGCGGATAAATGGCTGGCTTTAATCCACACGGAGGTCCAGATTATGACCGGTGCTTCAGCTTTCTCGGTGTTGCGACTATGTGCTCAGAAACGGCTTGTCACGGCCCTGTAAGGCGCTACACATACGCCGTGAAAACGTTTCCATTGCGCGGAGGCACGGAAGCGGTGTTCAATACCCCGATCACCGAATTGTACCGTGGGAAAGCATGTTTACTTGATCTCCGCCAGTTTGAAAGATCCGTCAGGTATGGGGCAAGGTATGGGGCCTATCTCGCCAATCTTCTTCACAATAGTATCCTCCTGGGTTCAACTGATACTATTTGCGAAGGGTACACGAACGATTATCATTCTATGGCAAGCATTCCAGCGTGCGCATTCAATATTCTGTGAATTGCATATCTGGGTTAGCTGCAAGTAAAACCTTCTCCCGATCAAGCTCCGGCGGGTAAATGAGCTCGTTGTTGATAAACGTCTTCATTTTTTGCGCCTCGTCCTTCACCATTGCGACCGTATAATCCCACCCCAGTGTGAGTAAGGCGCCCCACGAACCCAACGCCAGACACATGGCATATTGAGGCTTGCGGAATGGCGCGAGCGCAAGCCCGAGCAAATCCGCCATTGCGTTGTCGCCCGCAGCCTTGCCCATATATGTCGCGTGCTGGCAGGACATGAGCGCAATGTGCCCCTCGTCGTCCACGGCGACATGGGCGGTGTCCCCGGTAGCGTAGACCCGGTCCACGCCGATGACTTTGAGATGGCGGGTAACATAGAGGCGGCCGAGGGCATCGCGTTTAGCGGGAATCTGGGCGGTGAGGTGGTTCGCGTGCATTCCCGCGGTCCAGATGACTGTTTTACTGTCAATGCGCATGCCGGACGCCGTTGTAACGCCGTCCGCGTCGACGGACACAACGGTTTGTCCCGTCAAGATCTGGACGCCGAGGGAGGTCAGCGCCTCCTCGATGACCGGGCGCGGGGGTGCCTGCATTTCAGGAGCGACGGTCTGGGCGCGCTCAAGCACGACGACCTTTACGTCTGCCCCATCACCGAGAATCGCGCGAAGGCGCCCGGGCATCTCGGCGGCAGTCTCTACACCTGCGAATCCTCCTCCGCAGACGACAATAGTGTTCCGCGCACGGGATTCGGGAAGGGCGGCGAGAGATTTAAGATGGGCGTCGAGTTTGAGAGTGGTTTCCATCTGGTCGACATCAAAGCTGTGTTGTGCAAGACCTGCGACAGCCTCGGGATGGAAGATTTTGCTCCCACT